AAACCCTAAATGTACATTTATATGCAGAACAGCTGCAACGTATCCATAAAATTTTGGTTGAAAAGCACTCTGTGCTCGTTAATAGTAAAATGTTGTTCTCCGCAAAGGCAAGAAGAAACCGTGGGGAAAAAAAATGGAAGTCGGTTGGTTTGTTCTACTCTACATTCACCTAATCTTGCATCAAACGCTTCTTACCTTCGATGGAGAAAAATTTACTCTTACAAAAGCCAAATTCAAGAATTTCTAAAAAGCTTTTTCCTATGAACACTGCGGAATTTTACTCAAATGGTATCAAAGAGCTGCCTGATAAGCGACAACAGATCATTTGCAGAATAAAATACAAAAACGCAAAGAACTTTATATATATATATATATATATATATATATTGAACAATAAAAAAAATATTAAAAAATTAAAATCTTCAGACACACTGGGTTGTAGATTAATATTCTTTCGTTTTTTTTTTATTATTATTTCATTTAGATTCCTCGACTAGTTTCGGCCGAAATGGCCATCATCGGGAGGAGAAATATTTCTGCTTGCTGGTAGCAGTAAACTACAGAAATGAATGTCTTGCTGGAGAATATATATATATATATCAAATATGTGGTGCAGTTCAGTTTATATTACAATGAATCATTCATACAAAAACTAAATTAGTAAAGTTAATGATATAAAAATGGCGAAATCCCTTCGCTAACAAAATTTTAATGGTGCGTTAACCTACCAATCACTCGGTGAATGTTATCATGCTTGTTTTTTAAAATTAATAGGCGAGTACTTTCGACTGTACATTCAGTCATCATATATTTTTTCGTCTCGGATGCTACCCGAATTTTAGCAAAAACAAAATAATTTCCATACCTGAAGATGACTGAATGTACAGTCGAAAGTACTTGCGTATTAAAGAAAGACCTTATATAGCTTATAATTTAAAAAAAATAAGGATCATAACATTGTTATAATGGGAATTCCCCTTTGGTACATAGTTTTTATTAAATTAAGCGCACTACTGACAATGGCGGCAAAGTCTCATCATTTAGTTGAAACAGTTGAAATTACTAGACGTAACTGCAAGTTCTTAAAAGTGATGTTCAAAAATTTAGATATAATATCAATCGATTACCTTTGTTTTCTTAATACCTGTTTTTTTATTGTCTTCTGTCCTTAATAACGCTTTTCTTTTTCTATTCTTTCACATTCCGTAACCACTGGCATCTTAGTTGCTTTATTGCTTTGTCTAGGTGGGAAATGATTTTAAAAAATCTTTTAAACCCATAAGAATACGGAGAAGATGTCACTTATATGGATATAAGGCAGGCTGGATCACGCCATTTTATTTTTTGTCTTAGGATTCTTTTGAGAAATCTGCGTTTAAAACTCCAGTATCCATCTTGTGTAACAATGACTTTATTTGTGAAGAGAAAGAATAATGATTAAACACTGGTAAAGTTTCACTTCCATAATTTCACCCGGAAATCATTTTCTTTGTCATTGAAGTTTTCCCAAAACGACGTCTTACTGGTCGAGAAAATGAACAAGAAGAAAAGAAATGAAATGCACAAGCAGCAAAGAAATGAAATGCACAAGCAACAAAGTGAAATTCAAGCAAACTCCTAAGACTGTCTATATCTCTGAGATGAGGTATTATGAATACTTGCATTATTTACATTATTCGGACTGTTATCCTCATCATTATTGCCATATTCACAATGTTTCGGCCGTTGTACGCTCCCACCTTCTTCGGCTGATTGGATCTCTGAGATGAGGTATTATGATTACTTGCATTATTTACATTATTCGGACAGTTATCCTCATCTTCATTGTTATATTCACAACATTTCGGCCGTTGTACGCCCCGGCCTTCTTCAGGTGATTGGATCTCTGAGATGAGGCATTATGATTACTTGCATTATTCGGACAGTTATCCTCATCTTCATTGCTATATTTACAACGGCGAAACGTTGTGATTATGGCAATGAAGTTGAGGATAACTATCCGAATAATGTAAATAATGCAAATAGACTTCTGAGACTTCGGTAACGTAGATATTTTTTATTTTATAAACGTTATTTTTAGTGGGTACGCGTGTTTGAGTTGCTCTCCATTTTTTTCTTATGTTCTTACATAGTGAAATGAATAACAACCAGCCAAGGTTGAGAAGTCACATTAGGTAACGAAGGAAAGCAAAAAGAAAGGACTACCGTAATCCCCCATCTATAATACGCTCTCATCCATAATACGCACACCTAAAATTGTACTGAAAGTGTGGGAAAATGTTTCGATTCATGCATAATACGCACCCCTTGTTTGGTAATCAAGCCCTATAAATTGTACCTCTCCAATTTAATTATGGTCAGCGTTTCCTAGTCTTATTAAAAAAAATGGTTTAAACAGAATATTATTCTAATTTAGTTTTATGATAATTCTTATTTTATTTTACATTTGTAAGTATTGTTAGTTACATATGTTTGTATTTGACATCCTTATGAGGTCGCAATCGCCGAATGTTAGTGTCAAATTGTGGTATGTTTGTGATGAGTAGTCATTTCGCAACTGAAATCGACCTATGAAACGGCAATTTTTTAAAGATTTTTTTGTAGCTGTGCATAATACGCCCCCCTTGATTATGCTTATTTTTCTTTTAGAAAAAATGCGTATTATAAATTAAGATTACGATTCCAGTTCTTTCTAAAGTCTACTTGAACTTTATACTTCCAACGTCACCTCTGTCTTTTGAACAAGAGTAGAGGTTTATCCCTTGTATCCAGCTTAGGATTGGGTTTCCGCTTCCTTCTAAATTCTACTTTAACTCTATACTTCTAACGTCTCCTCCCCTGTCTTTTGAACAGGAGTAGAGGTTTATCCCTGTTTAAGATTAGGTTTCCAGTTCCTTCTAAATTCTATTTCCTCACTATACTTCTAACGTCTCCTACTCAACTCTTAAATGTTATTGACTAATTAAATTTTGACCTCTTCAAGTCTAGAGTTGCCATTATATTTCCTGCACAGCCCAACTCCACTTCTTGTCCCTTTCTTACGCTAATACAACAGCCCATAGTGAACGTCTACCTTACCTGGCTTTTGGGCTTTGCATTGGGGGGGGGGGATTTGTAAAAGAAAATAAGAACAACATTTCATAAATCCTCTCGAAGCTTCAAGACACTTGAAGTATTTCGGTTCGACCAATAAATCTTTGGCGTACCAATGTAAATTGATCAGCTCCGGAAAAACCAATCGAAGAAGACAGCAATCAAGAGATATGACCTGTTCAAATTGATATCACTAAGAACCTTTAACTGTCTATATTTCTGAGATGAGGTATTGTAATTATTTACATAATTTATATTGTTCGGATTTTTATCCTCATCTTTATTGCTATGTTCACGACCTTTCGGCCGTTATACGCTCCGGCCTTCTTCAGGTGGTTGGAATTTCGATCTGAACCCTTTATTTCGCCCACCAGGGTAAATTGTTCTAGTTCTACGTGCCATGCTTAGAAAACCATTTTTGGTTGTTTCGACCTGATGCAATGTTTATCAAGTATGACCCGCTAGATTAATTAGTAAGTTCGATCGTCACAGGATTTTCCACTTTTTCGGCCTTGTGCCAAATCTAACCTATGTTTAGAAAATCATTTTGGGAACTTCAGTGTAATTTAATGGTTAGCAAGCTTGTCTCGCTAGATCAATTACAACTGAATAGTGCGTTCGATCCTCACTGGGTGCTACATACTATTGGCCTTGTGCCACATCTCAACTACTCTTAGAAAATCACCATATACCCAGTTGCTGAAGAAGCATCTGATACCAGATTTGTATGAAGATGAGACTTTTCCGCATAGACGGAACTCAATGTCACAGATCGCATGCAACACTGAGTCTGGTTGATGAAGGTGTCTTTGATTGAAATATCATAGCGGAAATAGAAATGGAACAAGCAATCTCGAAGAGTTATGGATGCTCAGTCTCGGAGAATGGCATTTCCTACATGTGAAAATGGTAAAGGATTTCTACGCTTCGCTTCCTTGGAAGCCAGAGGAAACATTAAAAATGTGCAATATCTTCTCGTGATTTAAGAAATATTCATTAAAGACATTTTACTGTTTTAAAACGCTGATGATCTCTCTTTGTAGTAGCGAAAGGGATTGTGGGATCCAATAACCCTGGTTTATGCATGACGGAAATGCTGCAGAAGGTGTTAATACAAATTATAACAGGTAATAATAAGTGGTACATTTTACGAACTATTTTTTTCCGGCATGCAGTAAGATATATATATATATATATATATATATATATATATATATATATATATATATATATATATATATATATATATATACTAGTAGTAAAGCCCGGCGTTACTCGGGGTTTTATGTAGTTAAATTGTTTTGGGTGTTGAATTATTGAACTTATGCACGTATCCGCAGTTGTTGAGGTCACTGACAGGCCGGGAATCTCACTGGTAGCAAAATCAATGAGATCAAGGGCAACCGGTTGCAATAAGGGGCTGCTGTGTTGCTGCTCCGTGCTTACCCGAAGACTGCCACCCGTTCATAATCGGTCAAGATTTTTAATTCTAGCAGTGTAAAATAGTGGTTACGTTTTCACTGTAGGACACGCCCCATTCACTATTAAGTCCATAACTTTTCCCAGTTTTAAGTGGAATACACGGGCGGTAATGTCATGTCTGTGAGTGTAATCCTGTCCGGGTAGGAGTTCACGCGTTATCTCAACCCATTTGGGGTTGCAGGTAAACGTTATAAATAAGCCTGGCCGTCCATATTGCCTAACGTATGTCATGGCGTCCTGCGTGTGTTCATGCATGTAACCCACCCCCAGTGTAGGTAGCGGGCAGAATGCACAGATTCCCTAGGTCGCGGGGATTGACTTCATTTCGAAGGCTGTCGCGTAAGTGTACGTAGGAGTCTGAGCGCAGCTGTTTCTGATGATTCCGTATAAAACAAAGCCTCTCCGATTCCATCTTAGCGGCCATGTCAACCGCAAACTGGTGGAAAAGATCCCTGCATCAGGTTGAAGTCTCCATCTCTAACCATGAAACGGTATGAGTAGAAGGTCTTGCACAATAAGGCTTTGGAAGACGTTGAAGGTTGGCCACCCGGAGTATGAAGGGGAATACCGAAGTGGTAGCCTTCGTCACCATAAGGGAAAAGTAAAGTATACTGCAATGCGTCATATGATCGATGGGTCTCTGAAATCCTGCGAAGAGCGCCGCCTCTTGATTTGAGGACAATATCGCGAGTGTGGTCTTGCTCCCCATGTATAATAGCGGCCACTTCGTTGCACGCAGGAGCATTGTAGCGGCGTTCGTGTTCATCATGAGGCCGTTTGTCGGCGTCAATTATAATGCTGAAGGAAGGAAAGGGAGCATTTTCCAAAGCATATTTGAAACTGCGAATGTAGCTGTTAACCTCGTGAAGCATGGCCTGAAGTAGTAGTATGACGTCCCTGCGAGGAACTCTTCCCGACGGCGGCAAAATACCAATCCGGGTTTCGGCCTGTAGGTTGTAGTCTGCAATAAAGTACAGTTGAAGGAATTTAGGCGTAGAGGTCTCCTCAGCCTGCAAAGAACCAATGCGGTTATATACCTGCCCCTGTACTTTAAAAGTGGGGATCCAACCCTGAGCCCCAAATGAGGTCATTTGAAAGGAGTTGTTGTATTGCCTAATTGTTTTAAGGAAGTGGTTGGAGTCGGAGTGGGAGCCGGCTATTAGTTCAACGGGATAGGTATTCCATGCAGAGGTGGCAATCGAACTTTGCCGGAGGAGCAGCATAGACCGGCAGGCTCCCCGGCCCATTTGCGGGCGTTGCAGAATTGGCAAACGCAGGTCATGGACCCTACATTGATGTCGTCACGCGTAAAGTTAAGTTAATGCCAGGGTCGTAATTGAAAGCCAAGAAAGACCAAAAAGAGCTACTGGGACAGGTAATACCACGGGCGGCCGCAAAGCTCTGACTGTCGCCGTCGAGGCGTATGCGGCGAGCTTGGGGAGTTTGAGATAAGTGCACAGGGGCCATGTTTGTAACAGCCCTTGAAAGTCTGTTTGCTCTTGTCTGTGGGTTCTCGGATTTGCCCGCTACAGCTCTGTCTCGGACTCCCTCGACCTAGCTGTTGTAGCAACGTCCCTGGATTGACAGGCGCGCCTGCGGTCAATTGTTTCAGCTGCCCTCGACCTGGCAGCGGTGGCAGTATTTCTAGCATTTCGAACAGACCTACGGAGCAGTGTCTCAGCAGCCCTAGCAGTTGCTGTTGCAGCAGCGTCCCTGAATTGACGGGCGCGCTTGCGGTCGAATGTTTCTACTGCCCTCGACCTGGCAGTGGTGGCAGCATTCGTAGCCTTTCGCACAGACCTACGGAGCGGGGTCTCAGCAGCCCTAGCGCTCGCTGTTGCAGCAGCATCCCTGGATTGACGGGCGCGCCTGCGGTCAAGTGCCTCTATTGTCTTTGATTTCGCAGTGGCAGCAGCGTTACGAAGAAACCTTTGATGATGAGTCTCGGAAGCGCGAGATGCAAAAGCGGTTGCTGCAGCCTGTGCGTTCATCCTCGACCGTTGTGCATTCTTGAGCATTGATCGCAACGAAGCCCTGTAGGCAGCTTTCCTAGCCAAGCAGGTGGAACGCTCCTCTTGTGACTGCGAGGCCTGCCTGAGGGCGCTGCGTTGAGCGACCTCGGAGAGTCGCATTGTAGTCTGCTCCTGGGACTCGCGGGCCTTTCTTGTCGTCATAGCGTTTTGGCGGCATGGGGAAAAGTGATGCTCGTTGTGGTTGATTAGGGTTGGTCAATTGTAGGAGTACAAAGTCTAACTTAATATCGCAAACCATGAGCCAGAATCGGGAAGGCAGATAATTAAGTAAAACAGCTGAATAGATTGTTTATGGTAGTTGGAAAAACGTAATTAAACAGACAAACGGAAAACAAAAACGCAAGAAACAACATGCGGTAGGAGAAATAATCAGTTTAAGGAGCCTATCGTATCAACCGGACGGCGCCGTAACAGGAGCAGAAGTGAGACTTTCGTTCCCCAGCTGTGCACAGCAGGTTCAAATGCTAAGAATTACTGGCCAATCGGTTGTGCCAATTAGCGAGCGTCCTAGGGTCTCGAACACCAATCAGCGACCGCGTACTGCACTCAGCCAATGAGATACCGCTATGTGAAGCTTGTTCACGCGTGTGTGAATAACAATCAGGTGTACAGTCTGTAGTGTAGACGTCTCAGTTGAACATACGTTTGATTGGTGTATTCGCAAATTCCCATGAAGACATGATTGTTTCGACTTCCCTCAGGTATTAGTTGGTCACAAAGGAGCTCACAAGGCAGAAGTTTTTAATTGTCACAACTAAAGCTGATAAAGTTAATCAAAATCCCAAGCAAGTTGCGAAAAGCATCACCAAATTCAGGTAAAATCGATTTGAATGCGAAGTCAAATGGGGTGTGATTTCATCGATTTTTATCCGATAATTGAAACCGATATTGAAAACGAAAGTCAGCACGTCAGTAGTGTCGGTAAATACTAGGCTCAACGGGAATTTTGCTGAAAATTCTTCGCCATTTGCGAAAAATATAGCTAAAAATCAGCTAGAATCGGATGTATCAAAGTGATCGATTGTATTGAGTTTTTCCAGTAATTGATATCGATATTGAAAATGAATGTCAGCACCTCATAACTATTGAGAAAAGCAATGCTCAACGTAATTTTGGTGGAAATTCTTCGCCATTTGCGAAAAATAAAGCCAAAAATCAGCTTGACTGGATTTAAACTGGAAGTCAAAAGTGGCATGATGTTATCGATTTTTTCCGATAATTGATACCGATATTGAAGAAAAAGGTCAGCAACTAATAACTTGATAAAACTAATGCTCAACATGATTTTCGTGAAAATTCCTTGTAGTTTGCGAAAAACAGAGCCAAAAATCAGTTAAATTGGATTTGAATCGGATGTCCCAAAGTGATCGATTTTATCGATTTTTTGCGATAACTGATATCAGTTTTTAAAAACAAAGAGCGGCACCTCAAAACTATAAGTAAGGAAATTGCTCAACGTGAGTTTGGTGGATATCACTTGTAATTTGCGAAAACTATCACTGAAAAACTGATGAATTTTTTTCGAATCAATATTCGACCCTCTATCGGTTTTATCGATTTTTTCAAAATCGGAGGAACAATCGAAAAATCAGAAGACGTCAAGTACGAATGCCGTAAATTTTCGACCTGTGTGTGAATTTTCATGCCAATCGGGCGAACGGTTTGTTCAGGATGAGGTAACAAGGTGACAAACACACAGACACGCTAACAGAATGTCATTTATAGATACATACACACACACACACACACACACACACATATATATATATATATATATATATATATATACACTGAATAACCAAATGGATACAACTATGGAAGGCTCCACGAATTTGTCTGATGGTTGCTCCTTGTCGCGTTGGAGGGGCTTATGTCCAATGACTCTGAGAGCATGCCGTCGGTAATTCTAAATACCCGGTAGCGCCACTCTTGACGGCAAGGTCGAAGACGAGGACCCAGACTAAGCGGGATCAAATCCAAAGAACCCAACGGTGGAACAAGGGGATGATGATTACAATAGATCTCAACGGTTGAACCAACGGATGGATGAAGAGGGCTACGCATGAGAGACATGCTACAGTAGGCGCCACTCGAAATTATAACAGCATCAGCGGCAGTCCGTTGCATTTTCATAACTGAATTCGACATGTCTCATTTCATATATGCAACAGAGTACGGTCATGAAATCATGTGTGTTAGTCACTTCCTGAGATCCATCTTAAAGAAACTCACGCCATCGGCACTTTCTTCTGCTCTGGTATTTTTCACCTTCAACCAATTCTTGCAAACACAAACTGCTATAGAGAATGGATGACAGGAGCAGGTTTTGGCAAAACCGGAAGCGTCTAGTCCTAAACCTGCACGTGAATTTAGTCATCATCATAAAGGAAGAGATCAACAAAGAAGAAATTAAATTCTTAGATACGAAATAAAAGCGATGACGAATTATTGTTATAGCACTGGTGAAAAATGGTTGCTGAAGACATTAGGTTTATAATACCCAGAAATTCATTCACAGACGTCCTGAAGGACACATGGCTCAGTGGATAAAGGTGTTAGTTAGATCCAGTGACGGGACCCAAAGAGTGTGAGTTCAATACCTGGTTATAGCGGTGGTGAACTTGGAGAGGAGAATTAATAGGAGATAACTGATAACTAGAACAGTTTTCCCCCAGTGAGCGAGATAAGGGGTTTGTTCAACATTCTAACCACCTGAAGAAGGCCGGAGCGTACAAGGGCCGAAATGTTGTGATAAATATGGCAACAAAGACAATAGTCTGAATAATGTAAAATAGTGAACTATTCTATTTTTGCTGTCTACCTTTTGGATATGTTTCAATGTCGAACTTTTTGTATTCGAGTGTCAACCGGACTTCTGTCTACCTTTTGTCTATAGAGAATGGATGAAGGGAGCAGGTTTGGTGAAACGGGAGGCTTTTAGTTCTGAACTTGCACGTTGGCGGTGAATATAGTCATCAACGCCATCATCATAAAGGAAGCGATCAGCAAAGAAGAAATTAAATTCTTGGATACGAGATAGAGCCGACGATGACGATTTGGTTTTGTTTATTTGAGGTCAATGGCAAACTTTTGCTTGGCCATTTTTGGGCGTACTCTCACATCTTCCCGCCTCACCCAAGAAGCCCTATTACGGGATATCATAATTCGTAATGGATATTGCTTCAACAGGCCCCATGTTTCATTTCTAGAAATTATGAGGAAAATCTCCAATCATAATCTGGCAAGATATTTACAATAATTCAAAGTGGCCAAAGACAAATGTAAAATACGTCATATATATATATATATATATATATATATATATATATATATATATATATATATATATATATATATATATATATGACGTTATGTTATGTGCAGTTGTGCTT